AAAGACAAAGGCCATGCTTGAGCATATATGGATCCCATCTCCATTTGATCCTCATAACAGGAACAAATATCTGGTTCAGCACAGGCCACATGTTGGTTCCACAATGTCCTACAAGATCCCAGATTATGCCAAACTCAAAACAATGACAACATAAATTCCAGAAGAAAACTATGTGAATTTTTTTCGGATATAAAAAACTTACATTGGACAAGGGGATAACAGCTTTTTAAAATTTATATCGGCTTCCGATATCAATCTGCCAGTCTGGACACATGATTCACTACCGAAGAACATTCTTTTCTGTTAACAGGTACATATAATTTTAGATCATCACGATTGCAGCGCAGTTTTGTCCAAGGCTCCTGAACTAAGTCAACTTTCAGGAGAACTTATTCCTGGCAACAATCGCCATATTGAAGTCAGCACGGCTGCACTCATCCATTAAGCTGGTATCTACAGGATATAATTCATCTTCATTTTGTTACTCTCTTGCTCCTCGTTGCCATTTAACTGATTCTACATCTTAGTCATATGCTGTCCAGCATTATCTTCTAAACATTTTCTTTGTTCAATAGTGTTCTATCCAAATTGTTAGCATCTCCTGGAGGACCATGGATTGGCGCTAATAGAATCAGTTAAATTAAAACACGTATTGTGGGAAGTTATTGCAAGAAAATCTTCCTCCCGCCTTAGTTTCTGCTCCGCAAAATAAAAGAAGATTCTGGAACATATGACACATCCTGTAACTTGAATGTGTCACATATATGTGAAACAGATATCCATTTCAAAAATTCTAGTGGCCTGCTGAACTATATCCTCCCCTTTATATCTACAAAGAGGATCAGTGGGAGTTCATTGAGATCGAGCATTCACTAGTCTCGTGAAATGGGGCCTTTCAACTTTGCTAACATCTGGTGATCATTCACAGTCTGCTGTTTGTAGACACTCATCAGCACTCCCATCATCTGATTGAGAAGATAATACAATGCCACGCTTGTGCTTAACTGTTCGTTGAGCATTATTTCTAGGGAGTCTGAATCATCACAGAAGTCTTCGATATCACTTGTGATCTAAAAGGTCTGCAGAGTCGAGAAGGAGATTTCTCTTGAACAACGCTCTCTTCCTAGGCTTGACAGTGTAGATACACTGCCTCAGGCTGAAGGTCAATCATTTTCATTGGGCGTCATTGGGGTAAGCTCTCTGTGGCACTACCTCATCCGTTGCAGATTTTACTTCCACCATAAAAGCTGTTTTATTGATCTCGTCTCCCACTTTCGCATAGCTTGCATTGTAATTCCCAAGGAACCAGCCTTGGAACTATCGCATATGCAGCATTGATATCAAAATCCCATTGGACTGTAGCTGACTCGTGCACTTCTTTCTGAATAGTAAAGGAAAATGTAGAATTAACTAAAAGTTACCAGGATTGACAAAAAAAAAAGAAACAAAGAATAATCATGAAATTTTGATGATAGTAAAGAAAACTGGAGTATTATAATGCAAAGGACATTAGATCGCCGCCATAACCACCACACAAGCCTTTCCCTCAATTAAAAAAGGTTGACTGATAACACCAATTCCCTCTGAGAATCCTCAGGAGGAGAAAAAGCAAATGAACATAACAAAAATAAGCCCACACGATGACTTATTGTCATATTGATTTAAAGGTCAAGACAATAAATAGCAAGATGTTGGACAATGCCATATCTTCGAGCTGCCTTTAAAACTCATGCAATTCAGAACCTTTGAACAGCTATCCAACTGATATGAATCAATAACAAATAGCAAGCAGGCCTTCTCCTTACAGCTATTAATAAATGAATTCAAAGAGTTACAGGAATTATCTGCCGCAAGTTTGTGTGATTTAGCCTCACTTTTACATCAGGCTAAAAAGATAATATGAAGCTCCGAGCCAAGAGATTCTGGTCAATAGGGTTCATTAACAGGCAAGCAGATGTATTGTGGGCTAACTCATGAAAGAACATTTTAACAGTAAATGACAATAAATATAAACACCAGTATGATATATGTTAATGTATATGTATATGGATGTATGTGTATGTGTGAGTATGACATCGCAAGTTCCGTACCTGTCTGTGGCCCCTTGCCTTGCACCAGAACTGAGAAGCATAAGAGTTTTACGAATATCACCAAGACAGCATGCTACTAAATACCTCTAGCATATCGGAGGAAACATGAGCCTTCTCCGAAGCACAAATCTGTAGAAAAACTCCGAACAAGTCATTTTAAGTGGCAAGTCTAATTCAAGGTGCTCAGAAAGAATCCTGTATAAATAAATTAAAAACTTAGTATTGAACAGAAATCTTACCATGTATAGATGAGAAAGCAACTCGTCTGACGTTGGAAAATTAAAATCCAAGACAAAACGCGTCCAGAAGTTGTGGTAACACAGGCTTCCTATCTGCATATGACTAAAAAGAAAATCAATAATTGTTAAAAGATTGAAATACTTAATATATATTTTAAACTCACAGTTGCTGGTTAGTATAATGGGGCGTTTTGCTGTTTCCACCAAATGAAGAACCGAAGCAATAAACCCACGATCCTCATCAAAAACAGTATCCACATCCTCAAAAAGAATTAGACTTTTGTTTGCAGTTTGACTGATGGCAATTTTCTCTGAAGCATGTCCAGAGATTTTTGCGTGAGTTGCTTCTTGCTTGATGATCCTGAAAACAATTTCAATTGAACCATTTCTTGGACCATTTGGATCCTCAGCCAGACCTAAAAGAAATTATGCAGTTCAATCATGTCAATATTTTTTGAGACGATATATTCTATGGTGAATTATTTTCAATAAAGGTCATGATCTACAGCGTTGTTAGGATGTTAAGTTTAGCCCAGTGAGCAAGTGATTGGCAAGGAGCCAGATATTTATAAAAGTAAATCAAACAGAGAAATTTAAAAAAAATATATTGTTCTGAATACATGAATATATGCAAAACATCCCAACCATTAGTATTTATTGACACTTGCAAATGGTGTAGCGCTCCTGCAAATTAATATCACTGGTGTACGCTCATCATACAGAGCTGAAGCCACATGTGTCAATATATATCTGTCACGACACTGCCAAATTTAGGTAAGGAGCCTTATACAGTACATAGTTGCAAGACATCTAGAAAAACATAGGATATATGAATGGGCCTGCGAGGGAAATGATGGTTACCTAAGGTCTATGAGAAGAAACATATTCTTAAAGACCAGATGAAAGCAAGGAAAATTCAGAGACAGTATGACTCCACCATGAGAAAGAGCAAATCTCTAGCTACGATATAAGACAAGAAAGAATTATCAACTATCACCAATATAAAAAAATATATTCCTGACACTTTGCAGCCTCATGAAACGCAAGCCCACATATCCTTTCACAAAAACTTTATGCAGCTATCAACCTGATATAAACCCTCAAATTGGTAATGATTTATGGCCAAAGAAGTTATGAAATATGGAGAGCCTCACCGTTATCTGGAAAGTGACCTAATAGAATTACAAGTACTCATATAGCAAGCAGACATTCAAGCTTAAGAATGGGATTTGCAATTCCCCAGATGGAAGAGACACAATAGCTATGGCTGCTGATACAGACAGGCAGCCTTAATTAACCGGCTCCATTTACTCAACTTTAGTTCCCTCAATGCATCCTTTACATTTTATTCCCATCATTATGGTTAACTCACCTCTATAGCAGTCGTCAAATGAAAATGTATGCATCATAATGGTAGTAGCTATGTTCTTCCACATAAACCATATAATTCTACTTTTAATAATTATACTTTTAAATCTATTTAAATTATCAGAGCATAATACAACTATTTCAAAAATATGAGTTAATGACACTAATTAGAGATCATATATGAGAATTTTATGCAGTTGAACTCTGTCATGTATAATAGCATTACTTGTAAAAAGTATGAGATAGTACTGAAAGATTAGTAAGAACCATTTGTTTAGTGCATGTGAGTCCACAGCCTGTCCAAACACCTGCTTCATGCTGAGTTCCATCTGAACATCAGATGTGCTTCAGCTAAAAGAAGCATAAAAAGCTCTCAAAATTAGAATCAGAAAATGGAATAGTCATTGTGATGATTAAGATGTTACTGAAATCAAATGATCTAAAATTATGATTAGAGAAACAGATAGTACCTAAAATAAAGCGTACATAGCTCCACGAAGAGAGAGAGAGAGAGAGAGAGAGAGAGCAATTGCAACATTCAATGTTATTGAAATCGGAAGATTTAAAGAATTTGTTAAGCTCCACAGAGTTGACAGAAAAGATATACGAAAATTAGCATAGCAATGGTCAGCTTTGGCAATATGAATTCATCTCTGATTTGTCTCTTAACCTACATGTCTATGAATGTCATCCATAGACCATAGTCTTCTATATGGAAGGAACATGTCAGTCTCCAAGCTCCCCAGTGCTAACCTCCTATCATTAGCTTCTGGAACTATAACTACGATTTGTAAATTCACAAACAGAAGTATTATTTCCAACATAAACATGACAACGTACGCGGACGAGTTTCCATTCTCCATAGAAATGTGAAAATTTATGCGTGTGCAGAAAATGTAGGCATGAATTATAATAAGAGCTAACACATAATATTAAGCTGAGTAGCAAACCCAACACTTACACTATCAGGTATATGTTGAAGGAAAAGACAAGATAAATCGAAAATATACTTTCTGCAGTTTAGAGAGCCATTGTGCGCGAAGAGTATTTGGTTGGGCATGAAGAAAAACTAACATTTATGAGAAAGAAAATGGCAAAATTTGTAAACAGCTGCCTAAAAGAACGGGATTATTCATGTACAACAAATGAAAACGTAATTGAAGCCTTTGAAGGCCAAAGGCTGCTCAACGCAGCAACTTTTCACGAAGTTAAATTATAGCTATAGGCTTCCATCTAGCATGATATTTTTTTTCCTCCCGATCTTTTTGTTTTCCTTTAATATATTTTCCCCTTTTCAATGCAGATCTCGAGCTTCTCGTCATTACTTGAGTTCTGGCCCATATTCATTGTCTGATGGGCATGTTCAATTACTTGCACATACTGGATGTTTTAAGAGTTAGTGGTATGAGAATCAACTGATTGAGTTGAACAAAAAACAGATTGTAACATTAGAACAAAACACACAACAGTGCAGGTTATGTGATATCGAGGCAGGCAAACTTACTGTATCATCCTCTGTGGTTGATCCAGCGCTTATTTTGTCAAGACTCCGTGTATAGATAATTTTGAGAAGACTAATTTGCATTATGGTCTAATTTGGGAGAGGAAAGAGAGCGTACATTTTATTGTATTTGCTGAAATTGAGCCTTATTTGCGGCTGGTTTATATGTTAAATTAGATGTGTATAGGAGGATCAAAACGAACAATCAATTTGAGATTATAATACAAGTATTATGCTTGTGGAGACACACGTCAGTCTACTTTCTTTGATTTTACATGTCATTATTTCTATCTCATCTTAGCTTCCCTTCTGAGGGCCTGTTTGGTTGGTTCAAAGTGGGGAGCAAAGTCCAGAGAAGAAAACTGACCATGTGGGAATTGTCAGTTTTCTTTAGGTTCCGTTTGGATACCATGATGTTTTACTTGTTTTCATGGTGTTTTTGCTAAAAACAAAACATCATGTGTTTAAAAACCATGATGTTTTTGAGCTAAATCATCCTCAAACCAAAAACACAATGCGTATTTCAAAACAACTAAAATGTGTTTTAACTTTGGTGTTTTGGTTTTGAGTTTGAGAAGGTGTTAATATAACATCTAACATAATATATTAAATGTAATTAACATAGAGTTATTATCAACATGCTTATTATATTATACTATATTATAGTTAATCTAATATATTAGTAATATTTACTAAATAATATAAAAATATAATAAATAAAATATCTTATATAAAAATATAATAAAATATTAAATACTAGTATTTAATATGTTAACAATGTATTATATAATAATAAATAATAATATACTACACAATAGTATAATCGCTATAATATTATTACCTTTTAATAATAAACTATAATAAATTAATAATTATAAAATATTATATAATAGTAACATATTTAGAAATAAAATAACAATATAATATTATTATAATAATAATATTAAATGTAATATAATATATAAAATATTAATATATTATATAATAAATAAAATAATTTATTGCTAATAAATGTTAATGTAAAAATAATATATTCATAATATAATAATATTTATTTATATAATAAATTATTAAATTACTATTAATAAAGTCTAACATATTAAAAACCATAAAATATTACATAATATTAATTAACATTATTAATAATATTATATTATATGAATAATAGTATAATATTATATTATATTAATAATAGTATAATATTATATTAATAATAAAATAACATTATTATAAAAATATTAATATAATATATAACAATAACAAATTGATATACGAAAATAATTAAATATATAATTATTTGAAAATAATATGTAATAATTATAATATAATATAACTCATTAAGTACGTATAATATTATAATACATTATACAATTTTGATATTGCATTGTATTTAATACTTCTAATACTATAATAATGTAAACTAAATATTATAACATTTTATTCATAATATATTTTATTATAATTAATATATAATATATTAATGATATGTTTAATACTAATATTGTAATGGGTCAAACTCGTGTTGACCAAAGGTGGTTTGAAAACGTTTTAAGGAAAAAACATAACACCATGGTTTTTTTTTACAAAAACACAACAAAGAAAACACAATGGTAATTTTTAATTTTTGGTTTGCCACAAAGAAAAACCAAAGAGGTATGGAAAATAATTGCCGTGTGAGACTTGGAGGAAGCGTTGTTTCCATCTCAAAAAGCTTGAAATCGCTGGACAATGTATTAAAAATCGAGTAAAAAAAAGTTCTATATCCACTCGTGATCGAAGAGAGGAAAAGGGGGGGAAATACTAGGGTTACCACTCTCTTTCTCTCTCATTTCTTGTTGTCCCTCTTTTTTCTCCCACTGACCTCTCCCTTTTTCACCCGCCTCCTCCCACTTTCTCGTGGATAGGGTTGTATGTGGGCTAGGTCGACCTGCAGGTTGGCCTAACCTAGTCCGCCATAGGTCACAATCCGACCTGACTTATAGTGGGCCGGGCCCTACTCGACCCATGATGTACCCGGGTCACAGGCCAAGCGAGAGTCTAGCCTCAGACAGCCGAGGTCAGAGAAGTAGGCTCGGCCCATGCTCGCCTCGGCGGCCCGACCCATCCTGGCCTATGATATATTCTTTGGTTAGTCTAGCTATTCCTTTAGCTCTTTGGGTCTCCGGCTAGTTGCTAACAAAATCAAAAGGCCATGAGTCTTTGATTTGGGAACCTTTTGGGCTATTGAGAAACAAAGCAGTGATCTTCAAGCTCGTTGCTGTCTATTTGGAACGATTACAAAGTTTAATATAAGTTTAAAAATTATTAAAAAATAGATTAGAAATAATTTTATAATTGTAAATATGAGTTTTATATATCTAAAAAGGTAAAAAATAGAAAAAAATTGGACGAAAAACCCATGGGTTGGTCCACGACCCACAGGCCGTGGGTCGGGGTCAGAACTGGCCCACACTTAGGCAAGTCGTGGGTCAAGCTGGGTCCTATTTTAGGCCCAGGATCAGAGAAGTAGGCTTGGCCCATTCTGACCCGGCTGGGCCCGGGTTAGATCCGGCCGGACCTTGAATCCAATGGGTCGGGTTACGGGCTTGAACATGCCTAGTTCATGCCTACCCCTACTCATGGACAATTTGGAAACAAAAATGTCAAATTAAAGGCAAAACTCGCTAGAAATCTCCAATCAAAATCCTAGAAGTTGAGAAATCGTCCACTTGTCAAAGGCTATGATCTCCATCCTCTCATCACCAGCGATCTACTCTTCGACCCGTGAAATCTGGTCCTTCTCGCCATCTCTTTGAGCTATTAAGGAAACAATAGAAGTTGAGAGGAATCTAGGGCATTCTTTTTGGGGGAGATTTGAGGTGAGCTTCATGTTTAGGTTTTTTTAGATATTAGCCCCTTCAATCATAAATAATTTGATATTAGCTCCTTAAATCTTCATATTTTGATAACAGCCCCTTAAATAGCCATAATATGTTGATTTGAGCCCCTATGGTTATGTTCATATTTTGATATTAGCCGCTCAAATAGCCATGATGTGTTGATATGAGCCCCTCTTATTGACACATGACAGTAACTTGAGGAGCTTATATCAAAATATGGAGATTAAAGGGTTAATACAAATTACTTACGATTTAATGGGCTAATATCTAAAAAACCTTATGTTTAATGTTTTTTGGATTTTGGGATTGTGTCTTGCATGCTTTGTGGATTTTCGGGGTTGGTTGCTTTAAAAGATGAGATCCTTATCCTTTTTGCTTGGTCTTAGATGATAGATTTCCTGTTTCCTCAGCAAACAAAAAAATCTATATTTTTTGTATTTTGATTTTGAATTAATAGCAAACTGATTAGAAAAATAAGTAAACTTACTCCACTTGTTATTAATGATCGTCTAAATTTGTGTGTGTGTGTGTGTTGGTTCACCCCAAAATTGGTGCATTTGGGTTTAAGAACGTGTAGATCAAGTTCAACGGAACGGATCGCAAAATTTTTTTTAGGAAATGATATGATTCTAGACCGCGTCCTTAGGTGAGAACCTAGGTGGGAGCCTAGGGTGTCACCTTAGATTCTCTTTTTTCATATATATATATATATATATATCACGATGAGCTGCTTTGTGTTTCTCCGTGACCATTTTCTTATTGTTCACTTTCGACTCTCCCTTGTTTTGTCCGAGCTTACCTTCGCATTTACCTGCAGAATGTTGGAAACTGTGAGCAAGCGCTAATGAATAACGCCATTATGATACAGCTGGTTGAATCTTACAGCTCAGTAACAGCCGTTGCACAATCCGAAAAGGCCCAAGAGTCTATACGAATGGACTCAAAGAGTGTAGATCGTCTAAGCGATGCCTTCCATAAACATAACAACCATGCATACACTAAAAATGCTATGCGCGTTTCTCCAAGGAAGAAAAAAAAAACAAGGTTACGTTTTAGAGAGCAGCATGTGCCAGTAACTAGTTCATGAAGTAGATGGGAAATGAGAGCAGCATGTGCCAGTAACTAGTTCATGAAGTACGTATTAGAGAGCCCACAGTAACACCTCATGACAGTCTATTAACTACATCTGGTCCATTGCTCACATCCAAAAGCTTGAGTTATATCTACAAATAAATTGAGTTAGGTGACTGCATTTGCATGTGAGGGGACTGAATGAATATAATTATTTGACATGTAAATATTCCCGTGGTACCTATGTTAAGATAATATGTATTGTTATTGAATGGTTTTGTTTGTTTAAATAATTTTTGTACCTACTTTAATACAGCGCTAGTATTTTAGATGGACGATGATCTTGATGAAGAGACTATAATTAACATATGCTCACAGGCTGCACTATTTGTTTTAATTATGGTTATGACGTTTATAAGGAGAATGCGAAGCAGTCGTAGAGCCATACGTGCAGGTAGGGGTGACAAACGGTTCGGTTTTATCCGAACCGATCCGCATCCGTATCCGAACGGATGTGGATAAGGTAATACATTTTTAAAACCGGGCGGATACGGTTTCGAATACGGATCTGGTTCCTTTTTTCCGGATATGGATTCAGATACGGATATCCGCAATTCAATTAACATAAGAATTCTGGTCCATTTATGTATCCAAATTAAGTTCCAAACCTATAATCGCTAACCAACCCAAAACCCAACTAAAAAAACCTAGCCTCTCTCGGTCTCTCCACTCCAGCCTCTGCTCAAGTCCTCATCACCTCTTCGCTCAACCTCCCCCCTCCTCCCGTGCCTCCTCTTCACCGGCCTCCGCTGCCCTCC